GGCACTGTGTTATATTTTTGGAAAATTAGTTGTTTATTTCTCAGTATCAGATCAATTGCAACACTAAATTAACAGTGAATTATCTGACTGAAATAAGTCTACCTTGGTAGCCTGGGGCTGAGTTACAAAAATAAATGTGAATGTTGGCCTGAATTTTTAATTTTTTCTTTAAGTAAACCAACTATTAAAATGTTGCTTTATGTTAAAACAGGATTTCTTTTGAGTAACTGTAATGCACCTAAAAAGTGAATGCCATTTGATAATAATCTTAGAAGTAATGAAAACATTTTTAAAAATTAGGTTAAAAATATTGTTCTAGAAAATTCAGTGACTCTGGATACTTATGTAAGTTCCAAATGATAGTTTTGAGCTGAATTCTTCCCAAGAAATAGTAAAGAAAAAAGTGTAATTTCAAGTTGCTATGCCTTATGAGAAAGTTGTTTTAAAATAATCCTGACTTTTAACCATATACAAATAACTGTTTTTAAAAAATAACAGCATCTAATCAGAAAGGTTTAGAGTCCTAGAAAATATGATTTTCTGAGATAGAGGATTTAATGTGTGGATAACTAGTCCTCACCATTTTGTAAAGTCTTAGACCAACTAATCTTGATTTCTTGTGAAAGAATGTAAAGTAAATTTACTGACTAAGTAGGTTTCTAATGGCCTAAACATTCAGATTTTATGCTGGGGTTTTGGAGTAAAATAATTATCATCTTTCTAGAGTCACTCCTACTGATTTCCTAGAAAACATTATCAATTACTGGAGATTTTATCTCCAAGAATTTCATTCCCAAAAGTCCTAAGCCCTGAAGTTCTTCCCAATGGCCTGGCATGCTAGGAATTCACTTGATCTGCTGGGCAGAGACATTTCAAACTCGGGGAACACATGATGGGAATTCAGTTTCATGTGTCCCAAAGACATGTAATTCTCTTTGGAGGTTTTACTTGATAATGGCTATGCCCCAGAAAACCGTCTTGTTTAACCAATGTGATAAGTTGACAATGTAGTTTTTCTCTCTGATTATAATGTACTCTGTGTAGTCAATACACTGGTACCATGTGAGTGTAATTTCCTCTTTTATTTTATCTCCAATGCACTGTATTATAAATAAACAGTTAAAAAAAACACCAAACAAATCTGTTGCATCTCCTTTTAAGATTGTACCACTGTAGACACTTGTTCTAGTAAAGTAGAATTGGGCGCATTTGATTGCATTTAAATTTTTCATGCTTCAGCAGTTTGGCTGGGAGCACAGTAAAGAAAAATCCCATGAGCGAGGATAGTTTAGAATAATAGAACTTGATTTTGTGTATTATAGCGGCAACATTTGCGCTGCTTTAGTTAGGGTTGTGTCAGCACTTCCATTATAAACCCCTGTTTTCAGGGGGTATAACTGGGAGATATTTTTTTTTAATACAAATTAAAAAAACAATTCATTTGAATGATTTTAAGTTATAATAGTGCAAAAATAAAACAAAGTAAAGTCACATAGAAATTGACCATTTTCACAAGGATTTTGATTCTTTTGCTTAACAGTTGTGTATGGCAGCAGCTAAAGTAAGTTACTGTTCTAATACACTGGGGGTGAAAGTTTTTGTAATGGAAAATTACTGATATGAGCATGAAAAGTAAAAGTAAGCATCCCACGTGACATTTTAAAATATTAAAACAAGTGTATCGTTGATTTATGAGTTTCTAAAGGAGAGTAGCCATGGTGCAGTAGTTATAGTAAAGGCATTACCAAAAGTCAAGTCTCTTTGCAGCTTCTAGAATACAGTTTAGTTGGTCTTGTAGAATGTTTTAAAAGGGAAAACTAAAGTAAGGAAATGAAATCAATGAGGTTGTAATCAGTAAACTGAAGGATTCTTTAATAAAGTAATTGTGCAAAAAATAATCAGTAAATTGAATTTAATCACTAAATCTAAGACTTATTAATAAACTGTACATTAAAAAGAATTTGTGCACATTTTCCTTTTAAAAATACAACAAAACCACCACCAAAAACAAAAAACTACAACAAAATCAACAATAAAAAACAAACCTAAAACGAGCCCAACAATTTTGTCAAAAGGAAATGCCTACAGTGGAGCGATGCCTAACTAAAAGAACAAAAATCACCATTTTCTCTACTAACAACATATTGGGAACTATAGTAGAGTAAGCATAAGAAATTAAGTAAAATATGACATGGGAAAGTATTCTTCTTGGAACAAAAAATGTTAATTCCTGTACCAAAGGGAGGGATGTTGGAGTTGAGTCTGCCTTCCTTCGTTGTTCGCTATTATTGTCTGCCTTACCCCTCTTCTTGTCTTGAATGATGGTGTGAACTGAGGATGAACAGTCAGATTTAATACCGATTTTTTTTGGCAGCTTATATTTTATTTGCAACCTTGATACACATTTGTATTTATAGGTGCAAAATAAAAGACAAATTGTGTGATGTTATAAATAGATAGCTTTCTTGAATGGTCACTGGAGGAATCGCCAGAAGACTCTTGATGAAGTAGAGGTGAAGCCTTTCCTCACTAATTGTATTCAGCGTGTAATTTCTAAACTTCCCTCTGAATTTTGATTTTCAATTAACACTCCCCATTTGAAGATAATTTTCTATTTAATGTAATTGCAGGAAATAATTTATTGGCTGATTAAGACTGAGGGCCCAGCCTTCCTTAAGAAAACACTCTAACAAACCAGCCTTTAAACTCAACTCATAGCTTTGGACAGATTTAGTCTATTTTTACAGCTGCACAGTTGTGTTTAATTAGGATTGTGCACTATTGTTCCTTGGTGCAGTTTATAGTTAAAATTATTCTTAAGAGACTTTTCATTTTGGGTTTTGTGTCATGATTAATTTATACTAAAGCAATAATCACAGATATTGCTATTGGAAAGAGCCAAGTGACTTTATAGTAAGAGCATGTTCGTTGGGGAGCTAAAGTCACTCTGAGTTTTGGATTATGACATTCAGTTGTATTTAGCTGTTTTAAAAAGCTGCAGTAAATTCATTCTTTTGTCTTTAATGCAAATGATTATATTATTGGTACTGTCATTATCTGAACTATGAAAACACTCGTTGTTTATGGCAAGCTCTTGATAAAGTTGCAGAACAGTTATAATTTGGCTGGTTTTACTATAGTATTTAAGAGGACAATGAAGTAAGCTCTTGAGTGATTCCTGTATACTAAGAAGCATCTGTTGTTATCATTTTTCATAAGTGTATGTCCATTTGTCCATCTGTTAGTATTGATAGAAATTACTCAAGAATATACTTTGATTCTTTGATATACTACTCTTTGGAACATTTCATTTCTTTCTCCTTAAAGAAAATATATAGATACTCTTCTTTACTTCTTTCCCCTCTATTATTTTCTAGTATCGAGTCTAATAGCGGAAATTTTTATTATTTGTAGAATGATTATTATAAATAGGTATCAGCATTTTAATATGTTTCAAAGCACTTCAAAAGCCTGTAATACTTTTATTTAGAACTGTGCATAATTAGATTAGCTGATCTTATATTAATTTTTTCCACTGTAGGATACTAAATCTGAGCCCCCTCATTAATTGTGAGAAATTTAGCATTAGCTGTTAAATCCTATGTGAAACATGGGCTGCTACATAAAAACTACTGTTTAAATTGGAATTAACTTAATTATTTTTCTTTGCACTTGATATTTCCTTCACTGCAATATTCATGAAAGCATGTGACAGATTTGTAAATTTAACTGTTAATCTCAGATTTCTAGACCCTTTAATCAGTATTTATTTGTCTGTAGAAACAGTACTAGCGAGTTAATGATTTGCTAATTTGAAAAATGCTCATGTGGTTTCCTCTGTTAACTGATTTGTGCATTTTTTAAAAAATGGTATGAAATCAATTAATGTTAAAGAGCAATTAAGGTGGAGATTTTATTCCTTTCATTACACAGCAATTTTAGAGCTAAAAATGCTGTAAACCAACAATGTAAAGTTTTAGAAAAAATATTCAATTGCCTATTCTTTTAAGTTATAAACTTTGGCAGTTTTATTTTTAAACATTTTGCTAAGAAAATCATCTTGATAAAGTGATATTCTAAAAGTTTTGAAATTCTGTTTAATCATCATGATTTTCTGATTTTATATGAAAGCACAGAATAGAGACCTCGTGCTGGGTGTAGTCGATGTTCACTTGTGGATATATAGATGAATATTTAGTAATTGTTTTTGGAGTTTTAAAAATATTATGCATAGTAGACACTTTACTATTTTCATAGCAAATGCTTTGAATCTTCTAATATAAAATAGAGGCATAGTTATTTCATATATTCAATTCAAATGTTACAAAATTGCCTTAAGACTAATCTAACATTATCAGCCACTCAATCAATATGTGCCAGTTGACACAGCTTGAAGGTCCTTAGAAAAGATCAGATTGGCACTAAGCAGTGTTAGGCCTAGCGCTCATAATACAAGGTGTAAACTAAGAAGTCAGGACCAAATTTGCTTAGGACTTTCATCATAGATTACTTACTTTCCTGATTATATTTTCTTACATAGACTTTTGTTCCTACATAAAGCATAAGAGAAATGTGGATATTTGTGCTTTCAAGTCATCCTCCAAACAGGCTCATTTGCTAGGTCAGTTGTTCATTTTGTTTTCATTGCTAGCCATTGACTGAATTGCTCTCAAGAGCTTATAATCTAGTTCGGAGAACTGGGGGGAAAATACACACAAGCATATATATTCTGAGAACTTATTCCATAAAAATTTCCTCTGTGGATTGGTAAGAGAGAAAACATGCAGCCACTACTGGGAAGAGGTTTGCTGAGTTAAATGCAGAGAGAGAAAGTGGAGCAGATAAGCTAAGAGTTCTTTTTCAGGCATTTAGAGTAGATCATAAACATCTCTGAAGTTAGAGAACTTCCTTTTTTTCCTGAATTAGTCAAACGTAGGGGATGGTTTATTCTTTTGTCTTTGACAGCCCTTTTTAACCCACGCTGTTTCCTTCTTCTGCAGAAGAATGTCTTCCAAGCAAGCCACCTCTCCATTTGCCTGCGCAGCTGATGGAGAGGAAACGATGACCCAAGATTTGACCTCGAGGGAAAAGGAAGAGGGCAGTGATCAACATGTGGCCTCCCATCTGCCTCTGCACCCCATAATGCACAACAAACCTCACTCTGAGGAGCTACCAACACTTGTCAATACCATTCAACAAGATGCTGACTGGGACAGTGTTCTGTCGTCTCAGCAAAGAATGGTGAGCTTTTAAAATCTGGCCACTGGCACTAAGTGTGTGTTAGTATGGCCTCATTACAAGTAGGTGTTTTAGAAAAAGCTCAGAACACGTATCATTAGAGCTATTTGTGTTCAAGTCATGAAACTACCATGTATATTATTAATCTTATTAATATACTAATAACTGGGAAAAATTGGAAAACGTTTTTTGATTTAGTCTGTGCATTATTAGGTCAGCTTGCCAAAAGAAATTTAAATTTATTTTGGGGGAGATTTGGTGGTGAGCTTGATAATACCACAAAATAAGTCTGATCAAATAAAGCGTGGCTGTGTATTAATATCGAAAAATTGTATTCGGCAAACATATCTATGTGAGTGAGGTCATATAGTGAATACATCTTTAGTGAGGAAATGCAGGTATTTATCATTTTTAACGGTCATTCTTGATTAACAATAAAGCTTTTCTCACTTATGTGCCTATATATTAATTTCAAAAGGATGTGCAAAGCTCCTGAGTATCATTCAGTCACACCGCAGGAGTTTGCCCTAAAGGTGAAAACAACAACATCAAATACACACAGTGTATCAGCCAACTTTATGTTAAATTCCATCCTTAACGATCAAAACGGAAACCACAGTAGTGACATCAATTGTCTCGTTTAAAGCAAAAATATTCAATTTTTTAGCATCTAGAACTGACCAAAACTTTAATATATTTTCTTAGATTAAGAATTTAAAACACTGTACATTTCTTAACTTTTGGTTAAGTTAATGAAAAATATTTTAAATGGGCAATGAGGAAAAGTTTTATTTCTTAATAAAAAATAAGGTAATATTTTAAAATGCCTTTGCTAGTTATAACAAATATTTAAGTTCTTGCTCTATATTTAATGTCTCAGAACCAATTCGAAGACTCGATTCCACAATTTGTGGAGGCAGACATATTTTTTTTCAGATGATTTTGCAGACACAGCCAGTGCTTTGGAGCTGTAAGTGAGAAGTTGGAGACTGGAAGAAAAATAAGCCTTTTCTAGATAACTTTAGGTTCAAACAGGATCATCATTACACAATTAGTTCGATTCACTGGAAGATTTATTTTCCTTGCATAGGAGGGTGAGAAAAATATAGCTGAATTCCAGGAAATGAAAGACAGTCTTGGTGGCTGGAGTGTAATGAGTGAACATACAATGTAGATTCAGATATGGTTGGAGAGGTTGGTAGAGGCTATATCCAACAAAACCTTGTAGAGATCATTTTGGAAGTGAGATTTGATTCTAAGTGCAATGAAAAGCCGTTGCAGGGTTTAAGGACATTTCAGACAGACAATTCTGGCTGAAGTATGGTGAATGGATGGGAGACAGGGTTAAAGGAGGAGGACTGTTGGGGGGCTATTTCAGAAGTCCAGGTAAGATGCGGTAGTAGCTTGGATTAGTGTGGAAGCAGAGGGGATAGAGAGAAGGCATGGGTTCAAGATATATTTTGACTTTTATGCCAAATATAGTCATGGAAAAATAAAAATAACTAGATTGAAAAATATAGGTTGAGGCAGAAATAATACAGTTCAAATTTTAGTTCTTTAGAGAACACTATACTTAATTTTCTTGGTAAAATTTTGTTTGGATCTTGGCAAGTGCCAAGTTCCTTTGGTGAATTATTCTCAAAATTTTATAATATAAAATTTTGTCACAAGATAGATACTAATAATTTGCCTACCAAATTTATATTAAGTGGGATTTATGGTAGTATAAAATATTTTCAATTTACAGATATGTTATATGTTAGTATAAATGAAATCATAGTTGCTGGAAATGTTTTCAAACTTGTACTCTCTTTTGATATCAAGCATTGCTTTCCACTGGAGGCTTTGTGTATTTTGAATGTCTAGAAGCCAAAATATTTTGTTTTAACTCCCACTCTATAGTATTTCCCAGCTGTGTACTTATATGGTATAATAAAAGGATTTAACAAATGGGAAATAGCAGCTGCATTTGGAAATTCCCTTTGTGCTCCCTTTTCATTTGATAGATTCAGTAATGTGTAACAACTGTAACATCAGACCTGTAATGACTTATACTGCAAGTATCATATCACCAACTAATTTTTCTTTGCAGGAAAGGAAAACAATAGAAGGATTTTACGTTTTCTGGGCAGTCCTTCAAACTTACATATAGAATGCGTGTGTATGTGTGTGTGTTGTGGTGGAGAACTGTGACTAAAGTAAAATTTAATAAACATTTTACCTCATTCTACTTTCAAATAAATATGAAGTCCAAAAGGACTGCTTTGATGTTAAGTGAAATTTGTAGTTCTCTTCAATGTATCATATTCTTTACTCACTGTAAGTGAATCCCATAAAATAGTTGTGAAGAAATAAAATTTAAAAGAGAGTCTAAAAGACAACAACAAAAATTCTATCAGCACTTGTTCAGTTTCCACTGTTATTTACTTTCTGTGATGATCCTCACTCATGAACAGTTAAAACAGGCACTAAAAGTTTCTTATCTACTGGGTTCAGGAAGAGTTTTACTTTGAAATATCAAGACCAAAGAGGAGCTTTTCTGAAAGAGAGGGTAAAGACAAAGCAGAGAAGTTCTGCTAATCCCCATTTCTTGATTAGAAAAAAGAAATCTTTAAATGTTAAAATTCTGATTAATTTTTTTGAGGTAGCATCCAACCAAATATGAGACCACACAGTTTCAAACAAGGAAAAGAATTCATTATAGCATAAGAAAAGAAGGAGAATAAAAATTTCAGAGATGGGCATTCAAAGACCAATTTGAGATAAAAAAATTTTAGACTCTGATTTTAATTACAATTATGTATATTATGGACACCAAAATGTTCGATTTTAAATTTACTGTACTGTATTAATTTGTAGATCCATTTGAAGGCTGAAAAGTTATTATAAATAAGAATTCACTGTCCTTCTTCACTATGTACAACCACTGCTGTTTTCAATATGACATCAGCGTACCACCACCTTTTTTTGCAGAGGAATATTGACACTGTCCCCTGAAATGTGTTTTTGTTGCCATTAGGACTGATTCGTTAGGCAGAAATAAGTTCATATAATTTTTTCCTAGAAAAAATGTAGGGGGCCAGCCCCGTGGCCGAGTGGTTAAGTTCACGCGCTCCGCTGTGGTGGCCCAGGGTTTTGCCGGTTCTGATCCTGGGTGCAGACATGGTACCACTTGTCAGGCCATGTTGAGGTGACGTCCCACATGCCACAACTAGAAGGACCTGCAACTAAGATATACAAGTATGTTTTGGGGGGAGGGTTTGGGGAGATAAAGCAGAAAAAAAAAAATAAGATTGGCAACAGTTGTTAGCTCAGGTGCCAATCTTTAAAAAAAAAAAGAAAGAAAAAATGTATAGTGTATCATTCTTTTTAATGTTAACTAGCATGGAAGAACATTTTGTGATAATGTTTAGGGACCGATCTATGATATTGTGTGTGATGAATACCTGCTAAATGTTACTTGAGTGTATAGCACCTACTAATAAGTTCTAGGCACAGGGACTTTCTTGTGAATGAGATAGATAAGATCCCTGCTGTCATGGAACTTAGATTCTAGTAGTGTGACAGACAATAAGGAAGTTTCACCGAGTGAGACAACTTCACACAATGATAAATGCAATGAATAAAATTAAGTAAGAAATTGTGATAGAGAGTAACTACTTTAAACAGTCCAGGGAAGGTCTTTTTGAAGAGTTGGCGTTTGCGCTGTGATTTGGATAATGAGAAGGAGAAACTATGCAAAAATTTGGGGGAAGACACCCAGCTAGAGTGTATAGTAAGTGTGAAAGCCTTTTGGTTGATGTGTTTGAGCAGCAGAAAACAACAGAGTAGCTGGAATGGCATGAGTGAAGGACAGAATGGTATGAGGTAAAATCTAGGAGGCGAGCAGATGACAGAAATTATGGGGTATCATAGGCTACAGTGAGGTATTCGGACTTTATTTCAATTGTAAGAGAAAGCCATTGGAAGATTTTTAAGCAAGAGAGTAACATGATTTGATTTACGTTTTTAAAAGATCACATTGGCTGCTGTGTAGAGAATGGACTGTGGGAGATAACACCAGAAACAAGGACACCCGCTAGGAGAACCATTGCAGCAGTGCAGGTGATGCTCAGTGGGAGAGTGAACAGTTTGGGAGGTTATTTGTTGAGCAGTTCCCAGAGAAGACAAGATGCACAGAGGGTGAGGAGAATATTTTAAGTAATGTACACATGGGCAGAAATTTAGTCAAGAATGAAAAGGAAATGTGGTTGCTGAGACTGGGAGCCGGTATAGGGTAGGCTTGCTCCTGGCCAGAGAGTGGTCCCAGGCTGGAGACAGAAACTTTTTGCCTAAGAGGGAACTGTTTGCAGGTGACTCCTGGGGTATGCCATGGGGATGTGCGCAGGACACCAACAATATGTTTTACAAGATCCAAAAAGCGAAAACAAGTTTGTAAGTGGGATTGTCTGCACACATGTGCATGTGTGCCCTTGCGTGCTTACATTGATATATATTTTAAATCAAAATGGGGTTATATGTATCTGGCTTTTAACTACTATTCTAATTAAGTAGAAATAACCATACTGGACCCTCAGCCTCAGAATATCAGAATTCCTAATTTTAGAGACCTACTTAAATTCCCCCGAATGAGTTTTATCTTCTAGGAAAGGTTTAAAATAATTTTTTCACTATAAATAAAAGATTCCAATAATGTCCTTTGTTGTAACTGAAAGAAAATAGTAATAGATGTGTTGAGATGTTTAATAAATAACTGTCAGGAGCAATACTTTCTTGCTTGCGAACAATTTCTCCTCTCTGCCTTTCTTGCTGTCAGTCCAGTGAAGTTGCTAATCAACTCTGGAGTGTTTTGTGTAGTTCACTTGGAGTCATAAAAATTCTGGTGTGGCCTTTGTACCATTTCTGGGAATGGAGCTGTTGTCATTACATGATAACCTAGTCCAGGAATTGTGAGTGAGAATTGAATCCTTCTCAGCCATGCTTTATGTTGTGACAGAGTTTTA